GATTCTGGGCACTGACCTCAGGTCCTCTGGAAGAGCAGTACATACTTTTAACCCTAGAACCATCACTCCAACCCACATTTAATTCTTTTGTTATTGCTGTTGTTTTGTTTTTTTGAAACATGTTTTCCCCGGTTGTCCTGGAACTCTGTAGACCAGCCTGGCCTTGAACTTGGAGGTCCACCTACCTCTATTTCCCGAATGCTGGGATTAAAGGCTTGAACCACCACCACCAGGCTCCATGGTTAATTTAACGTTTCTCTATTTAAACTGTTCTTTAGTTTCTTTTCTCTGATTATCTAAGAGTAATATAAAAATATACCATGAGCAAAGCCTACCTCTTAAAAAAATCCTTATCCCTCTGTTTATTTCCTTATTAAAAGTTCTTTACTCTATGTAGAACAAAATAACAATAATAATTAACAATAATAATAAAGTCTAGATTACTGTATATCAACTCAGAAAGGGAATCCATACTAATTTTGAAAAGACACATCACAAGGTTGGGTTCTGGTAGAGCAAACGCTGGACTATTACTGAAGCATCCTGGGAATTTTGGTGGTTTCAACCACTGTTCCCATTATCTGTAGCTTTGTGTCAAGCAATGCCCAGACCTAGAAGCTTCAAGCATAGCTGAACCTGATGAGTTTCACAGTTTTGAATGGAAGTAGTAAGAGCAAATCTCCCTGGCAAATTTTTCTGCTCAATGTGGTGCTAATGGAGGTGACCTATTGGCTGTAAGGGTCCATGGTAACTTTCCTCACAGTCTGGCACCTTGTAGAAATGGCACACATGACCATCCATTATAGCAGCCTCAGGACTTTAGTTCTCTGAGAGTGAATTTCATGACCTTTATGAGCCAATCTTGGAAATTACGTCCACCAGTCATTTCTGGTTACTCCTCTTCCTAATTTGTTGGTTCAGAGTGGACTCCTGGAGGACTCCCAGACAGTTGGCTACTAGAGCCAAATGTGTCACTAAAATAGCTTGATTCAAAGGGAGGAAACACAGACATGTCTCTATAGGATTCTATGGGAACATGTCAAGCAATTTTAAATAACAAAACACTTAAGCCACCTGGTATTTTTTATTTTGTTTTGTTTTCTGTAGCTTTGGAGGTTGTTTTGGAACTTGCTCTGTGGACTAGCTAGCCTCAAACTCACAGAGATCTGCCTGCCTCTGCCTCCCAAGTGCTGGGTGGTGGTGGCATATGCTTTTAATGCCACCTGCTATTTAAGCAGAGTCTCAGTGGCTACATTTCAGTGAAGAGGTTTGGAGTGAATGCATTCTAAACTTGATTGAGCTCTAACCATGAAGTTAGTCATGGGAAACAGAAATGAGGGCTCAGAAACTCTCTTTCTGTAAGACTGCATGCAAGAAATTCATTCTGCACACAGGTGGAAAATAGATAATTGTATTGATAGAGATATCTTCCTGGTTTACTTATTATCCTAGTTTTGATTAATATGAGCAAAAGCAACTTGAGGTTTATTTGACTCACATATCCTCATCACAATCCCTCACTGAGGGAAGCCAAGGCAAGAACTCAAACAGGGCAGAAACCTGAAGGTGGGAACTGAAGCAGAGGCCATGGAGGAAGGCTGTTTACTGACTTGTTCTCCAATTCTTGATTATATTATTTCATTATCTTTATTTTACCTTCCTGGAAATCTTTTTTTCTTTTGCTTAAATTTACGTGCATTTATGTTTTGCCTACATGTATATCTATATAAGGGTATAGGGTAGCCTTGAACAGGAGTTACAGACAGTTGAGAGCTGCCACATGAGTGCTGAGAATTGAACCTGGGTCCTCTGGAAGAACAGCTAGTACTCTTAACCACTGAGCCATCTCTCCAGTCTGCTTCCTGGAAAACACATTGAATTTTTGTTTTTTTACTTGAGGTGCATCATCTGTGATTTGTAACCATGTTTTCATGCTTCCCAAGTTTTGCTGTTTGTTTGTTTGTTTGTTTGTTTGTTTGTTTGTTTGGTTGGTTAGTTAGTTGGTTTTGCCTGTATTATTTTGCTAGGACTGAACTATCAAAATGCTACAGACTGGGTAGGTTATACAACAGAAACTGTCTCTTGGAAGGTGGGAGTGCCAGTCAGCCTGGTGTATCTGGATGTCCCTCCTCTTGCTCTCCCCTTATGGGCTTTCACAATGAACACAGACATCTGGTATGTCTTTTCATGTATTTAGATTTCATCCCCTTTTAAGAGTGTCAGAGAGATTGAACAAGGCTCATTCTTAGGACCTCATTTAGCCACAGTGACCTCTCCTATGACCCTGTTCTGTACTTTCATGCATTGAGATAAGAGGGCTTAGGGCTTACACATATGGATTCTGGATAAGTACAGTCAGGACAGTACATTGTCCTATCCCCCTGTACTCTAGCAGACCACTGCAATCAATTTTCTCACTCATTCATTTGATCATAAGCCTATGCTGGTTTTCAATGGGTGATGTCCTTTTGTATGCTGCGAATATGTTTGGCTGATGAATAATGCTATTTTGGCCATTGGACAGGCAGGACTTAGCCAGGTGGCAAATCCAAACAGGGATAGAGAAAGGTAGTAAGAGGGAAGGGCATTCTTCGGTAAGATAAGGCCATGTGGACATACACAGATTAATAGTTATGGGTTAATAATTAAGAGAGAGCTAGCCAGTGAGAATCCTGAGCAATAGGCCAAATAGTTTATAATTTATATAAGCCTTTGTTGTTTATTTGGGACTAAAGGGCTGTGGAACTGGGCAGGACAGAAACTTCCATCCGCAAGTTTTTCTAGTCACAGAATACTTCTATTTTAATAATCTTAATATTTATTTTAAAAGCTCTTGCTTATTTTTATATCAACCTATCCTTTCACCTATGCTATATTTCCTCAAATCTTTTGGAATATTAATTTCTCTTTGTTTAACTGCATCCTTTCTCCTTCACAAGTTAATTCTGGTTCCTGAATTTTGACTCTGTCTTCTAAGGTGTGTCTGTCTTCAAATTATTGGTGGCATTTTAATCCAGGCTTGACACCCAGGAGGGGTGTATCCCTGATTTATCTTCTGGCCAAGGTGTCACCTTGTAGTATTTATAGATGCCTAGGTAAGCCCTGTAGTGACAACCTTATGAAATATCTCACTTCAGAGATGTCAATTCAAGGTTTATCCTGGGCTATCTCCAAAAAGCTTTGATGATTTGATTCATCACCTCAAAGCACAAGGCATTGTATTAATCAGTAACATCAAATAACACCCTAAATTACAATAAAAACTATTATTAGTCCACTACTATCTGTGGAAAATGGGGAATATTCCAAGAAAACCTATTTAATTGTCTCCCTTAGGCTTAAGATTAACATTATTAAGTAGGAATAGAGCAAAACAACAACAACAAAAGACTATGTAACAGTGGCCATGGCTGAGCATGAGAGCAAGGTCACATCAAATATTTGCTTTCTTTGGGTCCTGTGAAGTTTTGTCATCTCTGAACACATAGCCTTGAGCTGCTGAAAATCTAAAGTATGGTTCTCAACTTTCCTAATGTTGTGATCCTTTAATACAGTTCCTCATGCTGTGGTGATTCCCTTCCAACCATAAAATTATTTCATTACTACTTCATAACTATAATTTTGCCACTGTCATAAATTGTAATGTAAAAACCTGGTATACAGGATGCCTCATATTTGATCCCTAAAGGGACTGTGACCCATGGTTTCTTCATGTCGGGTATAAAACCCACCCTCTTTTTTACACCAACTCAGAAGAGTATTCTTCTTATTTATCTAAGGTGTTATGTCTTCAGATTGTAGCTCTGTTTTGATATTGGTGATGGCACAGGCCATGTTGCCATTGGCAAGGAATATAACATTTCTGACCCTCTATTTCCTTAGGGGCTGTACACTACTATTCACTCATTTAAACGATTCAATTTTATTCAATTTTTCTGTTGTCTATTTGTTTTTTGTTTTTTGAGACAAGATTCTCAAAAATCAGGTGTGTGACCCTGGCTATCCTGGAACTTACTCTGCAGACCAGGCCGGCCTTGAAGTCACAGAGCCTTTGTCTCCTGAGTGCTGGGACTTAAAGGCATGTGCCACCTCCGCCTGGTGAAAATTTATTCAATTCTTAATCTGTGTTGGGCACCAAGTAATAATGCTGCTTGGAGGATCGGGGTCTGAAGGGAGTAAAATACTGAATGTGATGTGGTTTTGGGCACAAAAGATCATTCAGATGACACTTGCTAGTATAGCCTGGAGAAGGCAAGCTTGAATATGAACCCAAGCCTCCTTGTTAAATTCACGAGTATGTATTGTCTTTCTAAAATCAAGGCAGTAGACCATATTTTGATGGGCCATTCCCTTCAATATCATCTGCAATCCAAGACATTGTAGTTGGCCATAGATTGTCATTGTCTTTTACTATAAGTGCTGTATGAATAATCATACAGCTGAGACAGAATAAAAGAAGTTGTTATACTATCATTATAATTTTGTAGTTATAAAGACTTCAATTCCCAGATCAAGGTCTCTGTCTCATCTCTTTCTTTTTTTTTTCTTTTCTTTTCTTTCCTTTTCTTTCTTTCATGGGCCAGGTGGTGGTGGCACATGCCTTTAATCCCAGCATTCCTGAGGCAGAGGCAGGCAGATCTCTGTGAGTTCTGCAAGTTCGAGGCTAACCTGGTCTATAGAGTGAGTTCCAGGACAGCCAAGGATACACAGAGAAATCCGGTCTTGAAACAAAAATATTTTATGCCTTGGAGTGTTTGCCTACAAGGAAGTGCACCATGTGGATGTTTGGTTCCTGTGGAGCTCAGAAGACAGTGTCAGATCCCCTGGAACTGGAGTTATAGGCTATTGTGAGCCATCACATGGGTATTGGGAACCAAACTCAGGTTCTCTGCAAGAAAAGTCAGTGCTCTTAACCTAGGGGCCATCTTTCCTGTCCATATGGTTCATTTCTAATGAGGTCCTTTTCCTGAGTCTGCAAATGGAGAAGGAGAAGACCAGGGAGAGAAGGTCTCTGGCATCTCTTCATACAGGATACTGTTGTGATAGGATCAAGTTCCAGCCTTATGAATTTATTTAACTTACGTTTTCTTCCTTAGGGCCCCCTCTCCAGACATAGCTAACCTGGGGACTTCAATATGTGAGTTTGGGGAGCTATAAATATTTTTCTGTGTACTTATTTTGTTTATTTGATTTTGTTTCTTGTTTTTTATGCTGGTACTGAGTCTATAATCTTCCTTACAGGTGTGCACCACAATACCTGGTCAACAAGGGCAACAAGTACTTTCTTGGATGTATGTATCTTTCAAGACTTCAAGTGCACATTTACACTTTGCCATAATACTTAATGTTACTTTTTACATTGTTTATGTTTCTTTCAAAAGAATTAAACTGTGGCTAAACATGTCAAAGATTGCTTGAGCAATCTATAAATAAAATTTGATTTTAGTTTTTAGCATGTGTTTAGTTTATTTATTGCTTATTGAGCTGATGCTCAAACTTTCTTAGTGCATCTGAGGTAAGCGCTCTACCACTGAGTTACAGACGCAGCCCAGATTTTACACATTTACAACTCAAAAGACCTTGAAGTAAAATTGCTATAACACATGAGAAGGAAGGAGAGCAATGATACAAGATTGAAAAGGTGATGAAACATTTCAAAGCTCTAGGCTTTTGTTGAAAGAGATTAATAGCAACTCCCCATGTAATAAAGTTGGCAAGGTATGTTTTAGTCAGCAAGAGTGAACATCTGACCTCATGGCTCATTCAAGGTCACAACTAGAACTCCACAGTTCAAATGGTGACCATTTTCACCCTTTCCCTCAAACAGCATTGCTATCTGTTTCTTCACTAAGTCCTGGTGCTTGGCATGGCTTAAAGCCGATTTTTACATTGTTTCCCACATTCGAGGACAAATCAGAGGAGGGAAGCATACACAGAAGCAGAGCATAGCCAGAGTCTTAATCTCTACTAACATGTGGTGTCTACAGCTGTGGACCATGTCTGTGTACCTCCACTAGCTTCTCATCTGTATGGAGCATATATTTGTATGTATTTTGACATAACTGACTCAAAGACCAGTTCTGTATCAAAGAAGTCACGTAGCCAGTGGGTTGGAGAGATCTCTTATAACTGTGAAGGTTTGATGATGGGCATTTCCTGGGGTGAGTCAGCTGCTAAGAATGGGGGCAGACAACATGGAAATAACCCTCAACTGAGAGTTGGAGTCCTGGGTTCCTGTCCTACTTGTTACTAATCAACTGTAGTGCCTAGGGCAAGCCACTTCGCTTTTTTGCTGTGCCCTAGTTTTTCTTGTATAAATTGGGACGATAAGCTTGTCCTACTTACCTCATTAGTTTGTTGTGAGGGTCATAGGAGTCAGTGTATCTGAATGTACTTTAAGTCGTAAAACTCTAGAGGTGGCAAGGGACAGTGTCTCCTCCACCCCCTCCCCAAGACACCTCTATAACCAGGTGCAAGCTAACAAGAAAAGCACATCAGATTTAGTCACTCAGAGCTCTATCCGACATCGAAACCTTTAGAAGGAAGACTGGGGGTGGGGTGGGGTGGATTTCTATACCATGATTAGGTTTGTGAAGCAGGGTCAATTGTGCAGAATGGGAATGGGTAAAAAGGATTGGTCCACTATAACAGGCTGAGTGGGCCAGCTGGAAAGGCCTGTCTGTCTGTTTGGATTTTCCTTGGACTCCTTTTTATAGGATTTCTTCCTCGTCGAGGAGTAAGCTCTTTCCTGGAATGGGGTCTTATCATGTACCATCAATCAAGGGTGATCAAAGAATTTCTTTATGGCCAGCACTTACTGAAAGTTGGAGGTTAGAGTCATGTTTTAGGTTTTATGGATGCTTTGAGGAGAAAGTTCTAGTTTCTAGGAGGTGCTTTAGGGAAAGAGGAGAGGTTAGAAAGCTGAAGACAGGAAGGGCTCACAGATACTTCTCTGCCGGGACCTTCACTTGGGGACATTTTTGTGAGTCCTAATAAACCTGCTCACAGAAACAATCAGAAACAATGCCTTTTTTTTTTTTTTTTTTTTTTTTTTTTTTTTTTTTTTTTTTACTCACAGAGATCCGCCTGCCTCTGCCTCCCGAGTGCTGGGATTAAAGGCGTAAGCCACCAACGCCCAGCCTGAAACAATGCCTTGTTTTTGTTTTCTTTATATGTCACCTAATGGAGCTATTAAACTATAATCAGATGGCATTCCATCTTGACTGCTGTGGACTAACACTGAAAACTGAAATTGTACTTCTGGTATGAATCTTTAGAGGAGTCAAATTGTTCTGGATATGTGTGCATACATACACCAAATGGTTAGAAATGGACAGCGGTGAGAGATACTGAGATATAGAACAGCACATATGAAACATTGGTTAGATTGTCTAACATGGTAGAAAACAGGGAGATGCCATTCCTTGCTACAGAAGAAATCTGACTAACCTGCAAAGCTGCGGAAGTCAAACACTTATTTGCATTACTAGAGTCAAACATTGTTAGTTGGAAATAACTTTAAAGAACACTCTTTGATTTGTTCACTATCCATCCCTGTCTATTTCCTCCTCCTCCTCCTCTTCCTCCTCCTCCTCTTCTTGTTCCATGGTGAGAAGTGAACATGGGGCATGCTAGGAGAACACTTCAACACTAAGCTACACTCACAACCCTTAGAGGAGATTCTAATCCAACTCTTTTCATTTTAAAGATGAAAACTCTGTTAGCATGTGGTTTGTCCATGGCTATACATTAAAGATAGTGATGAGATTATTCTGATGTTTAGGCAACTCATAATTTTCTTTGGAACCAGTTTTCAAGCCCAAAATAAGGGACTGAAGGAAGGTGGTAGCTAGAGTTAGAATCTGATTCAGGGCACTATGCTGGTGAGGACATGATATGAAGCTCAGGCACAGCCATGGTTGAATGAATCATTCAGATGAAAGAGTAGATGTAACATGAATAATATAATCCTGGCTACAGATATTGGGGTTCAAGCTGAAGATCAGAGAAGCAAAGCAGCCAGGCTCCAGTGAGCTCTTACCTCTACCAAGGCTGGGGCAATCCTGACTTTAAAGTGGCTGGAGACTAATTGGCAGTTTGTCCTGAATGTCCTGCTCCTATCTTATTTACCTCTCTAGTGGTTGGATTAAAGGCCTGAGCTCTGTTTCTCTTTTGAACTGATTCACTCTCATGTAGCCCTGGGTGGCCTTGAACACACAGAGATCCACTCTGACTCTGTCTCCTGCGTCCTGGGATTAAAGATGTGTATCACCACTGCCCAGCTTCTATGACTGTGGCTAGCTTTGCATTTGATCTTCAGTGGCTTTATTAACTCATAAACAATATATCACCATAACCAGATCTCAACCAAGAAAATTTCATTAAAAAAAAGCCATCCAAGCTGAAGGGAGCCCTTGAGCCAGAGAATGAGTAGATTTCAGAAATTCAGTCTGGCTAGCCAAAATGGGTTTGGAAATAATAATGTTTCCAGTAATTGTAGTTTTTATTGAATACTATCTACTAGTCATGATTACTGAGTATCTCCCATAATTCTCAGCTTAAATTTTCAATAAAAAAAAAAAGAAGAAGGAATAATGATTCCACTTTTGGTGAAGGAGCAAACCAAGGCATTATGGGAGAGCTGGAGTTTGAGCTCCAGAAGTTTAAATTCCATCACTGAGGTATGGAGAGACAATTAGAGGATGGGTCTTTCTATCACCACAGTTGGAAAGCAAAGACTCATTGGTAGGTATACAATGTGGGCTTCCTGAAAACTGTCAATGAGTTTGAATAAAATAAGTGATCCCAAACCTACATCTAAAGTTGTCTTTAAGTCATAATTTAGCTTTTAGTTAACATCTCATGTTGATTTCAGGTTACTTATTCGCATTTTATGTTTCCATTTCACTGTAGACATAAAAAAATGGTGGTGGTGGTGATTGGATCTTGTCAAACAATTAGTTCTAGAGGGTTAATGTTTATTCAAACCTATAATCAAGGAATTCAAATAGTAGTTAAATATCTATAAAATTTTAGAATTAAAAAATCTATCAAATGTTAACATACATGTTTAAAATCTTCAATTCATTAACTCTTTCTTTCAATAAATATTTATTGAGTGCCCATAGTATGTCAGGCTCCATTCTAGGTGCCAGAGATATCAAAATCTCTATTTTAAGGAGACTTAAATTCTAATGAAGCTGCATTATAATAACTAAACAGCTAACAAAATATGGTAATTTCAGATGGCAGCAAATGATATGAAAAAAATAAGAAAGGCTGACACACAGGAGGTGGGTCAGAAGGAATTAATATCTTTGTCTGCTTCCCTATTTTTCAAATATGTATGAGGGTCTTCTTTTTACAATATAAAATATTCCTCAAAATTAGTTTTTTTTTTTAATTTTAAAAACTTTGTTATAGCCTAGTGGCAGTGGTGGTGCATGCCTTTGGATGCATCACCCTGGAAGCAGAGGCAGGCAGATCTCTGAGTTTAAGGTTGCCTGCTCTATAGAGCTAGTTCCAGGACTACACAGGGAAACTCTGTCTCAAAAAACAAAACAATAACAGCAAAACTTTATTATAAAAATACCCTGAAAATAAATCAAAACATCACACACAAATCAACCAAACCCAAAGTCTATACAACTCAATGAACAGTTAATATGCACAGTTGTGGATCTCCATACTGAACTCTTCTTTCAGTGTCGGATACATTTCCCGCACCTATCCACTACCAAAGCCAAAAGCTCCAATGACAGAATTAGAACTGGAAAAACACTTAGCTTTGTATCTTCTTTCATAACTGGTGTCTATTATCTACATTCAGTCCTTCCTCGTCCTCCACTATGTAGCTTTTCTTGTTTTCTTTTCTTCATGTAATACTGTACTAAGTGTGTGTGTGAGTGTGCACATGTGCGTGCACACACACACATACCTAGATTCTCCATATGAGAGAAAACATGCATTTAAGATGCTTTTATTTTTCTTTTGACACTGTGTAACCTTGCTTAGTATTATCATTCTAAGCCCATCCATTTTCCTGCAAATATTTTAATTTCATTTTTCTCTAGAGCTGAGTATGTGTGTATAAAGATTTATCAAGTAACCAACAAGAATTGGGTTTAACACCTGGGAGTGGTAGTGCATGCCTTTAATCCGAGGATTCAAAGACAGAGGCAGGAGGATATCGGAGTTCAATCAAGGCCGACCTGGTCTACAAAGCAAGTTCCAGGACAGCCAGTGCTGTTTTGCAGAGAAACCCTGTCTGGAAAAAAATCAAAACCGAACA